GTCTTATCGTAGTTTTATAACAGGAAAGAAATTTGATCGTGGATACGAAAACTAGATAAGGTCATATTGGATTTTTTACTGCATGAAATGGGGCCGAGGTTGATTCTAGAACTATCCATTGGCGCCATTTGTGTCAGCATGACACACTGTACACGTAAGTTGAGTAAGACATTGAAAACTGTTTGAAAACCAGTTGCTTCTTTATTTTAGATCAAGAATGCTCCTCGTACAGAATGTTGGCCAGCGTTTTCAAATGGTAGCATCGGATCGTTCACGGAATCGAGTGTGAATTTACTTGAATGGTCAGGAGTCCAGCTTCATTTCAGTTTAAATGTAGGGTTGTTCGACCTCGACCAGAAGGTAAATAGAAATGTAGGCTCAGCAGCAGAATACCAGAGAGAGAAAGTACATGAACACGAAAAGGACATTAATGTTTTATGTATATATAAATGTTTGTAAATGTTTATCATTGTATAGTAAACATTAGCTATATTCTAGTCGTGTTTTCATGTATTTTTACGAAGTCTAGTAGTTTATTTAGTGTCATAATATGTAATAATGAGTCCAGGCGTTATAGTGTTCTAATAGCTGATGCTTTTTAGAAATAAGTGGTTCGGTCTGATTGACATAGTCACTGGGATGAAACAGTTTATATAGCAAGAGTTTAAAGCTTGTAATAGAGTGACAGGTCCTTATTTCTAGGGGTAAACTGTTCCAGATCTTAGAGTACATGAGTATGAAGAAGTTTGCACGGAGTGCTGTCTTACAGTTTTCCTAGATACTGTGCACGTTTGGTTACGCAGATTGTTGGAGCCTTTCGGTGAGAACTGTATCTCCTTGCTGTCTGAGAATGATATTTTATGCAAGACTTTAAAGAAGAATGTTAGGTTAATGCTGAGTCGTCTCATCCAAAGTGGGTCGATACCTAGAGTTATACGCCTTGATGTGTAGTCTTTTTCGCAGTCAAATCTAGTAGTTTAGATGTGAAGTATCGTTGGACACTTTCTACTTTAAGCTTGTCGCTTACGCCAGTTCTACTGAGAATAAATGGACAATATTCAAGTAGTGGTCTGACACATGTTTTATGTAATATAAGTTTCACTTCGTAGTTGTGGAAATTCCTGAGTATGCATCCTAAGAGCATCCTCGATTTACGCGTCTGTGTCGCCACTTGCTCAGAAAATGTCAAGTCACTAGAGTACCTGAGTCCTAGGTCAACAACATTTTGGAGTTTAGGCAAGTCAATAGATTCAAGTATTAGTTTGATATTTATTGAGGATGCACCGAAACAGATCCAACCACATTTGTTAAGGTTGAATTTGAGGTTTCATGTGGAGGACCATGCAGTTACTCCATCTATTTCTTTCTGAACAGCTTTCTGAAAGTATCCTAAGTCATCACAGTGGAATGTGTGAGTTACTTTAAGATCATCTGTAAAGATGAATGGTTTGCAAAGCGAGAAACAACTGCATATGTCGTTGACATATTGAGTGAATAGGAGGGGGCCTAAGACGCAACCTTGAACTACTCCAGAAGTGATTGAACTAGGTTTAGGATTTACAGACCCCTGTCTAACTACTTGGGACCTATTCTTAAGGAATGATTCAAGCCATCCTAATAATGGGTCACGTATTCCTAAGGAGTTCAGCTTATTTATTAGAAACAAATGGTCAACGCGGTCAAAGGCTTTGGATATGTCGAAGCAGATGACTAGTACTAGTTGTTGTTTGTCTCGGCTACTAGTTATATAGTTAAAGTCAAGGTGACAGGTCATGCATGATCTGGATTTTAGGAATCCATGTTGGTTGGGACTTAGAATACTGCAGCTGAGCACATGTTTGAGAATATCACCTTTAACTATTCTTTCGATAATTCTAGATGCTATGGGTGTAATATTGATTGGCCTATAGTTGTTGACTTCAGTTTTCGATCCGCATTTGTGTTTGGGTATTATAATTGTGGTTTTCCATTTGTCTGGATAGGTTTGGCTTTCTATGGACATTGTAAAGATCTTAAGTAATAAATAGAAAATGTCAGTACATAACTGGAAGTCCTCTACTGGATGTGCTGTACTTCATTTTAGCTAATTGAAGGCGCATCGAGAAAAAGGCGAGTGGTTGCCACTCTTTGTTAACAAGTTGTTACAGAACTGCACCGATTGCAGTGTCTGATGCATCAACTGAGATACTTAACGGTGCCGGTGGATCCTGACAAATAAGAAGGGTGGCATCCGCAATGGCTTTCTTTACCTGAGTAAAGCATGTCGAGAAGACGCGTCGGGTTCGATAGACTTGTTATTCCCTCGAAGAAGGTCTGTCAATGGCTGAATCAGAGAGGCACATTTGGGCACAAACCGTTGGTAATAACTTACTAAGTCGTTAAAAGTGCGAAAACTTTTCACTGTTTGTGGCTCTGGAAAGTTCCGTATCGCTTCGACATTAGTAGCCAGTGGGTGAATGCCCTGGCAGTCAATAGTGTGACCCAGGAAGTCGAGTGACTCAACACCTATCTGACACTTTTGAATATTGATGGTAATATTATGTAGGCGTAACCTTTCAAATGCCAAGTCCAAGTGTCTAAGGTGAGTTTCCTTATCTGGACTGGCAATGAGGCAGTCGTCTAAGTATGCGTATACAAAGTCGAGACCGCGAAATACTTCGTCGATGAAGCGTTGGAATGTTTGTGCTGCATTCCAGAGGCCGAATGGCATTCCCAGAAATTCAAAAAGTCCGAAAGGCGTGATGATAGCCGTTTGCGGAATATCTTCTGGTAACATCGGGATCTGTTTATATACTTTAACCAAGTCTATTTTCGAGAATGAAGTTGCACCAGATAATGTTGCCCTCAAGTCGTGTATTTGAGGCAATGGATAGCAATCAGGGGTTGTTTTGGGGTTCACTCGCCGGTAATCACCACTGGGTCGCCAATCGTTACTATCCTTTTTCGGTATCATATGCAGTGGGGATGCCAATGGGCTATTCGATGGCCGAATGATGCCAAGGGTGAGCATATGATCGAATTCACTCCTAGCAATTCTCAGTTTGTCAGGAGCCAGTCGTCGTGCTCTAGATGTCACGGATTGTCCTGGGGGTATGATGTGGTGAATAACATTGCTGGTTATGCACGGGAGATCGTTAGGTGAGCACTTAAGTTCCGGGTATCTGTCAACAATCGGTTGAAAAGTTGGATCAAGGATTGCTTTTGTCTTAATGGGTGACAAGCCGGGGCCTATGTGGGTGATGCCTTCAATGGACAGACTAGTAGTGTTGTCAGTCAGTCGTTTTCGGCGGACGTCTACGAGTAAATCATGATGATTGAGTAGGTCCATGTCAATGATGGGCATTGTGACGTCAGCGTGAAGGAAAATCCACCGAATAGGTCTGCGTAAACCTACGTTCAGATAGACGTATTTCCTACCGAAATATGCAATTGGTCTTCCATTTGCAGCCTGTAAGTTGAAGTTAGGTTCCTTCTGTCGATCTGCTGTTGTAGCAGGAAGGACACTGACTTCGGCGCCTATGTCGACTAAATGTCTAGTCTGGCTGATCACATCATGGATGTAAAGTAAGCGGCTAGTGCCACCGGCGACGGTTGCCGCTAGTGCGTACCGGCGGGATAGTTTGCCACAGACTTTGAGACATTGTCGAAATTACAAGGTTTACGACAACATTTCGCTTCCTGGCCGTAGGTGTTGTGATACCAGCACCAGTCAGGGCTTTTCAGAGAACGTGGCTTGAACTTACATCTACCACGTGCGTTGTGCCGTTGAGGGGATTTAGGACGACGTTAGGAGGAATTACTAGGCATATTTGACATAAGAATCTGCTGGATGGAGTCGCATAACTCTATCACTGCAGAATCCTTACTCGAAGTCTGTTTGGCCACCGAGCACATTTCAGGAACTGACCGTTTAGTTATTTCTAGAATTTTATCAGCAGAAACAGCTAAGTCGTCTATGATTTCACCCTGAGGTGTCACCAGCACAGTCTGTACTGACTGTCGCAGTTTGGATAAAAGGAGTTCTCTTCATCGAACTGACTTTGGCCAGTAACCTCTCTCATTCTTTCCAGCATGCTCACGGCTGACTGATCCCCTAACTCGACGTTACGAAATAATTCATCCAGACGCTGTCGATCCGTGAGAACGCTTCTCCTGAGGAGGGATGCCTTGAGCAACTCGTACGAGTTACTTATCTCTGGACTCAACATCTGCACAATTACGCACTTGCTGAATTACCGTAGTAGGGCGTGAATAACTGCAAGGAACTGTGAACGTTGATCGGTTATCCCATGCTCACAAAAATCAGACTCAGCTATCTGAAACCATGTTTCAGCATTATATGGTCAATATGGTACGAGCTGAATTGTTTTGGCAGTCGAGCGAATACGAATAAACTTGAGGCTAGGATCACTCATGACGAAATGTATGCCGATTACAATATAGTACAAGAACAAACACAAAAAGGAACGAACTCACCGCGTTTATCTGCGTATTTATTGAAGATGAAGTTTGCGGTTGGGCTCACCAGTTTAGTGGTTGACGGTATTGACGTTCGCAAATTCTTCGGAGTATTCCATCGCAAGACCTTATACCAGCAACTTCTTAAGTATTCGTTTCTCGTGTACCGAAGATAAAGCAAAAGGCAAGATTGATCAACCAAAGTATGTGATATATTTCGGGACCAAATAGTAAACCGTATCGAGTGCTTAACTAGGTAGTGATCGTGCGCGCACGTGACACGACGGAGTACCAGATGGCAAGGATGCTTGACCGGAAGCCTTCAGCTGAAAAAGTCGACTTAAACAGTGAGGGTCAGTGCTGATTGATGATTGCTGTGGTCAATAATTTTGGGGAATTATTTACCGCTGCAGTTTCTTCTTCTCGAGTACATTCAACGGAGTAGTCAAGTGAACAATGAAGATGTTGTTTGAATTCTTCAGCCATTGTTAGTGGAAGTTCCGGTAACATTTTCACTGTACTTACAGTTTACTGGTGGATGGATGTTTCGTTGCAGTTTCTGTTGTGCTGCTCACATCTTATTCTTGCATTCACCTAGTGTCGAAGTAGGTCATGTGTTGCCTCTGTTTTGTGATAAGATTTTCGTTTATCAACCCATCCATGCAATACTAGAATGCGTAGAAATGTATGGACTCGGATTCTATGGTCAGAGTTATTGCGCCTTCGCTAGCCTCTAGTAGATGTCCAGTCGACTTCAAAATGGCAATCAAAGGAGAATCTAGTGATCTGTGAACGACAAAATGTCCACTGGCATTATGGGGTAACCTACTTTGTGATGATCATCCAGTTATGGCTATTCTGACAGTCAATTCTACAGCGCTACTCCCTACAAGCTTTAACGGCTAATCTGGATAAAGGTTATATTGTTCCGATTGCTCAGGTTTGTGAGTGTAGCTTACATGGTGAGGCACGTAAGCTGGTTGACAGGGTAGTTGGTATCATGTGGTGCAGGTTTACAGGTAGTAAGTTAGTCGTCGGAACACCCGAACTCGTTTCGGAATAGTCTGCTAGGTGCCTCCACCCATTATCGTGCTCGTAGACATATCAAGGTAGTCAGCATTGTGAAGAGTACTCGTCAATGACGCTCTTGGTTTCTTTGAATTGTTTCATGAAATCGGTTGGGAAAGTGGGTAAGGGCTTTGTGAGGGCATCTTAAAGGTTTTACTACATTGGACATCCCATTGTGTAGTGGATATCTCAGATCTCTTGATGTCATTTCGCAGGTCCGTGATAGCGCCATAGGTACTTTTGACTGTATGAAACCTTAACTATTAACTCTACCTGTATGCGCTCTCAATTTTCTCATTTCACTCATATACCGCTTCGATTTGCATAAGTCTCTGTTGACTGATTCTTGCATTTCTGATGGTCAATGTAGGTGTTTGGTGGTGTCAATAATGGTTTGGACTCACGTCAGCTGTCGGAATTTTGTGACGAGGCGGAGATATCGTTGAGGAAATGCTATTCAGTGATGTGCCTTGCTGCCTGGAGGTGTTCAATAGGTTGGTGATCTCAGGACTCATCACCCTCGCACGTTTCGCCTAGCACTGGACTCACGGGTAAGTTGTAGTTGTTTGAAGTTCACTTCATCAGCTTCACTTGATCCATTCTCTGAAGACGTGCAAGTGAACGCTTGTAGTGTTGCCGACAATGGTCAGGAATTCTTTGGTTCATTCACAACCACTTCACATACCCGTATTTCAGCGACAAACAGTCAGTGATAGTGTGCACAGTTTGTGTTGTTTAGTGTGAGGCATGTAGGTGTGATCACTGGCGTAAGTTTGTTGGAGACATTTGGCACTGGAACTAGCTCACTTTGTGCGACAGCCCACTCAGAAGTCACTTAGAGACTGGGACTGATCGTTGGAATGGTCGGTGACATCAGACACGGGGCGAAGATAAGCTTTAGCAGCCGCCACCAATGACTCGAATGAAGAACCTACAGTTTGACCCTGAGACGAGAAATCACACCATTCACCATGAGTGACTTGCATGTAGTCCATTCGTAGCTCCCTTTTGATTTTTTTTCCAGTGTTGTCTAGATATTGAGTGACCCACTATGCTCAACTGAGAAACTTTATCACGGTACTTATAAAGGGATAAGGCTGCCTACATATGTTGGTATTGAACTAATTAACAAATTCACTAAGCTTAACGTCACTTTACTATGATGGTTTGTCCAAGTTAACCTCATCGAGTGCCTCCTTAGGACCAATATACATAATAAGTACAGTGAATGTTTCACCTGTAAGTCCCAGTAATAAAGTGAAATATTTATAAGTGGCATGTCATACATGATCCGGACTCTATAAAACCGCACTAAGAAAGCGTTATGAGGTTCTCAGTTAATAAGAAGCCAGTGGTTTTATTACTGATTATCTTCTCAAGTATTCTTGACAAAACGGATGTTATACTGATTGGCCTGTAATTCTTTACACCATATTTTGAGCTGGATTTAAATCAGAAGATAACCCATGTCTGCCTCCATTTAGCAGGATAAACTCCATTCATAAGTGGAGTTGAAAATATTTTAGGCAAAATCAGAAGGAGGTAGGTGCGCGGAACTGAGTCAGATCTGGGATTATCGGAAAATTTCAATGAACTGATTGAACCTCTTATAAAATCAATTTTCAAGCATATATTTGACGGTGTTTTATCTGTTACAGAGTCAACATCGATACATGCAGTAATATCTTGCGTGTATAAATCAAGAAAGTGCTTGTTAAAGTGTTCAGCTATGCCTGCATCATCCTTAACAGCAACGTTATGTAGGATGTAAAGAGTGTTTCCTTGTTTCTGTTGCAGTCATTTTGGAAGAGTTTACAAAGAGAACTAGTTTTGCAGTTACGTTTAAAGGCAACAAGTTATTCTTCGTAAGTTTTATTAGCATTATCTGACGTGATTTTATCATATACCTTTAGGATACTAATGAACAAAGAGAAGTTCATGGATTTATTCTAACTTGTACTGAATCTTAATAGCTTGTCCCTGGTAGCCTTTGGTATGTATAGCTGAGTTGCAGATTTACGTTCGGAGAAATACTAATGGGATAGATTCATTGAAACAAATTGATACATTCGAGTATAAACTGACCAGAACAGTATCAGTTTCTGCCTAGGAGAAAAACGTATCCCAGTTTGACAACGAATAAAGCCCGTGGTCGTTTGCCACTTAGACTCTGAAAAATCTACGAATTTTATGGTCCGGTGGTGGTATTAAGCTTACCAGTTTGCTACTAGGTTAAAGATAGAGACGACACTGCTGTGGTCGCTACTAGGGAATAGAGGTTCAACTCTCGCACTGGTAGGGAGATGGTTGTGCTGGAAAATCAGATCCAGGCTGTTTCATTTACGTGTTAGGTGAAAAATATTTTGTGTCCAGCCATAGAATTGCACCGTATTTATTATATGATAAAGCTATGTAAAACATAGTAACAAATGACCGTTTTCACGCCATGAACGAGAGTGATCAGATATCTATGCCTTAATGTCTTCTACACGCGAGAATTGCATTTACCTAAGTGTTCAGTACACTGCGAGTAGCGAATATGTATTCGCGTTGTGTACTGGTTGTTTCCCGGTGGTCGTGGCTTCCTATATCTAGCGTCATACTTTCAGACACTCCAGCAATCTTGCCTTCATACTATTTGACAATAATTATGTCTTGTATGCCACGCGAAGTAATTCTCCTGTCTTCCTCTTTCAGGTGGACGACTTTCATCTCATGGACTTGGGTTCTATCTCGTCTCTGCTCACGATGGATGATAACCTACTGCTTAAGACAATACAAGGCGTATCTCGAGGATGGTTGTGTTAATATCTTGGACGATTTTTATGTTCTGTAATATAATCTGTCTGTTCAACACCAATCATTTCTCAGTTAACCATAACTCTCACCCATGTTTTCGTATTTCGGATACAACCTAATGCATAAAACTCTTGTGTTCTTTCTTCCTTCTGAAATAGGTGGATAGAGCCAACAATCATGTTGACTTACAGCTGGTATAACGTCGACAAGACTGTCTGATATCCCAACGTTTAAATAAATTGTAAGTAATCTTTTGTTTAGGCCGAGATTTGAGGGTGCTTTCGGATGACTACGTGAGTGGTTTGATCATAAATATCCGAGGAAACTCGCTACTGAATACAAGAAGAAACATTTCATTCTCTCTAGCTATCCGGAACTGGGAAGGAATGCTCCTCTGGAAGATTCTGTCGAACTTTGCGGCTACACGCCGGTTAGGCGGTTAAGTTGGGGAACCAGTGTATGTCGATGAGTTTTATAAATTTAGATGGACAGTAACACGGTCAGGTCGGTAGGGGGAGGGCAACGATTTGTGTGTTTCTAAATGTGTTGTTGTTGGTGCATAGGTGCGTGATGAGTTGCGCTTGCTGACCTAAAGAGTGGCAGGTCCACGTCAGTTTGCGAGAGAAAGGTGACATCTGCAGCTGGTAGTGTCAGCTGCCCATCTCTGAGGATGGATGTAGTCTGCTTAAGTCACGGCCGACCGTAATTTATTGTTATAATTCATGAAGTGGTAGTCTACAGGGAAGGTTGTCAACGTGTGTCTGTCGGGTGATTGTGTCCGTTTGCACACGATAGGAATCCTCACGAGTCATCGGGTGTGATGGGATCAGCTGTTGTCCATCATCTCTTGAGACTGACAGAATCGTTATCTTGAGCACCTATTGTTGCGAACAGTCGCAGTATCTCTCCTGAGTTTGTTTCCACCCAAGTGAGTCTGGTGAACAGTCAGTTTCTGCACTGTCACTGGTATGCATTAAATTCTAGGCTGGTTTCTCTCTCGGTTATTTGACTTCGATAACCCATTGTCTTCATAGTATTCATCTCCACATGATTAATTTTCTTGGAAACATTTCAGTACAGAATTATTCACTTCCCCATCCTGCAATTGTTGTGCAAGTATAAAATGCAGTCGATAGGCTACACAAGGAGGACCTATGGTTAGTTGATTGTACAGGTGAGCGAAATGATCGTGTTCTGCCTCCGTAGATCGATTAGTTGGTGGGCTAGTCTTCACACACGTGTCCCCTAGTCCGTTTCATCTTCGCTTCAACTTTGACATCCACTGTTATAGTCTGCCATAATCTCATGGTAAGGACATGTGTTGCTCATGCCTAGCCAACGCCTGCCTTGACGTGCGATGTTAGCTGATCAGGTTGGAAAAGAGGTGGTTGTGATCAAACGCAAACATGGCATCATCAGTCAATGGAATCGACAACAGTTGGTTTAAGCCACGTCGGGAGGTGTAGGCTTCCTGGTCGGGATTCTTGGGATGGTAAAATCAGTGACTGGATACAATTGGTGATGTGGCTAAAAATCGTTCTCAATGGTTGGCGCAGATGCATCCGCTCTTTGTCATACATGGTATCCAATAAAAACGTACTGTTATTCCATATTACGATTCTTTTTGCCCCACACTTCTGTTTATTATCTCTCCTTTGAATTGATTCTTTTGCTTCGTGTGCTACATGGAGTGTGGCAACTCGAACTACTACACATCTGCGCAAAGTTCTACATTGAAACTGACCAGTCAGTCATTAGTAATCTGTGTCTCAAGCCTCAGTGTGCTATACATCTCTACAGGACGCAATTTTACCGGTTGCGAAGTACCTGTAAGACGCGCTATGTGGACCCCGTATATCGAATGTGCGTTCCTGGTAAGTGTCTCTGGGTCAATGGGTTGTGATTTGTTGGCTGGTACTTAAACATCCTTTGTTCGTTATCTTATAGCTCACAGCTCTCAAGAGCATCTGGAAACCTGAAGACCGCAATGGTGATTGTTTTCACGTGGGAGCTCCATCACCTCACCGATATGCACGTGTAAGATTCTTGGCATATTGAAGTATTTACGCACTACAATCACGCCCGTTTTGTGAATCGAAGCATTTATTGTTGTCATCATCGCTCCGATATGCTCCGGTAATAATCCTGTGGTATTGGGATCAACGGATGGTAATAATATACTGGTTTATGTGAGTTACGCGTCTGATCTATGTGTTTCATTTCGAAATTTAGATGTGCCACTCATAAGGCTTTATAAGTTCAAGTGAAAGCGAGGTAATGCTAGGGTTCCGAAAGTGCTTGCGAAAGATGATTTGTGTGCGTGTTTTGGGATGTTTTGTTTATTAGATCGAAATAATTCTTCCTGTTTTTTGTTTTAGGAGTGTTTCGTAGTTTAGGTTCACAGTTCTTATACGCAAAAACGGATAATTTTTCACATTTTGGTTGCTCTCATGTATATATCAATCCACCGACATCCAGTAGATTCATTTAAATCTCCTCACAAGGACAATAATGTAATCAGTAATTCAGCAACGGGCGTTTATCCTTGGGCTAGGAATTTTCGGATAATAATAGTAGAATGATAAAAGGGTGAATGATGCGTAAAATGTTAGTTAAATTTGGAGTATACTAAGTTAATTATATCTATAAGATGGTTGGAGGCCATTGGCAAGAAGCCTTGGACCTAGGTGTTGTGCTTGCTGTCACTCGTTAGCAAGGATTATTTTAATCCTGAAGAAAATCTTGTCATATGTAATTATAATTAAGTGGTTTAAAGTAGATCTAGTTTTATTTGTCCTTACTCCCATAACAACTTAATGTCAGTTATATTAGCTTTCATTTAATGGGATTGTCACAGTAATCCTGTCAGGAGTTTTGCAGTCTCCACCAAACTTGTAAAAAGAAATCACAATTTGGTTTAACGGTATACATTGAAGCTTGATATAAGTGTAAAACTTGGGCACTGTGGTAGAGTATAATTCCATAATGGATAAGATTTTATTTTGATAAATCACACAGTGTAGTACAGTTATGTTAACTGATCAGTTAACATAACTGTACTACACTGTGTGATTTATCAAAATAAAATCTTATCCATTATGGAATTATACATTGAAGCTGTTTGCAGTGTAATCGCTTGAGTGCACCTAGAGATTTACAGTCTTTTCCCGTCTTTTCTTTTGACTGTGTGATCGCGGACGTCATGGAAGTAAGTTTTAGTAACAACCCTCACCTTATTCAGTGCACTGTAGCAGAAACCACCTAGAAATAATGACAACTGAAAGCAATAATTCCATGAAGCAACCGCTAAGGTAATCATTCAATTCAAGCTCCTTAATCACAAGGGTTGATTTAGTTGCTTTTACATATCAACGAGAACCGTCTGAAAGATTTGGCTCTTGAAATATATTCACATTTCCCTCAAAAGAAAATACATAATAAACAAAGGATTACTCTCATGAAAAACTGACAGAATGTGAAATAAATACGAATATACGTACACTCTACATTCAACAAATATCTGTTTGACACACTATATCTGCAAAGACTGCTCCATACACCGAAAAAAACCAACAAACCAAAAAAAGAAAAGTGCTGCATGAGGATGCTCAGGTACGTCATACATATTAGTGTAGGCTAGTTAGTATTGTAGGTGAATTGTGTGTCCCCGTCTAGGATGTTGTCTGTGTCAGTGTTTACTTTCCATTTTAGATGAGAGTGAATTGTATTGTGGTGGTGGGTTGTTGTGGAGAAGACTGTAGTTGGTGCGAGTCATTGAAGTTGGCGATTCGAGTGGTGAAATGACGTTGTCCTTGTGAGAGTGTAAGTAGTGTTTAGTGTTTAGGTTAAATATGAATAGGGTAGATCGGTTAGTTAGGATATTCGCGTTAATTGTTAACTATGCGATAGTGTGCTTATTTCTGTTGTAGAGTAATGTTGGAAGACTGTACTGTACTGTACTGTACATTACTGTACTGTACTGTACTGTACTGTACTGTACTGTGCTGTACTGGAGTGGAGTGGAGTGGAGTGGAGTGGAGTGGACTGGCGTGGAGAGGAAGGAAGAAGAGGGAAGGAGACAAGTCTATAGAAGACGTGGTGTGTGTTGGGTTTGAATAGATGGGATGTGTGGGATTCCCATGTGAATGTGTGGAATGCAAAGTAGTGGTTGGTGATATTGACATTGACTGGCTTATGGAGGAAGGTGAATATATTTATCTATGTGGCTGAATGAGATGGCGAATAAGTAAGCTTTGTGATATTTTAATGCTGGATTAGGTGTGTGAGAAGGGTAGGTGATTTGTATGTGACGGGTGTCAAGTGAAGTAAGTGAGTGTAATTTTGACACTAGTGTAATGTAGTGTAGTGTTGTGATTATTATGTGACATGGTTGGTGTTGGTATACGATGTGAGTGTTGTTGTTGTGCGATTGGGGTGCGTTTGGTGGCGGCGACACTAGTGTTGCAGTCATGTAAAATTGTGTCGATGCATTTTTCTTCTTTCTCTCTGTGTATCGACTTCAGTTAGTTTTCAGGTGTAGGTGTAGGTGTAGGCGATGAGGAGGAGGTGTTCAAGGAAGATTGTATTGTGTCGGGACTATTGTGTTCAATTGTCGTGAGAATGAGTCAATTTGAGACGGTGAATACAATGTGAATGCGTTGTAGGTGAATTGTTAACATTTCGTTTGCAGATTCCTTCTCGTGTCCAGGGAGTTCGGCGGTGTGGATGGAATGAGAGATGTTGTAAGTGAGTGAGATTGTGATTGTGTTGTGAGTTTGTTTGAGTGGATGATGACTAAGTGGTATTGTGAGGTAATTGTTTTCTAGTTGACAGGACGTTGTTTGCGTTGTCAGTGATTAATGGTGATCGAGATCAATGGATCATATGAAGATGAGTAAATTGAGTGAGTTGTGCATTGTGATCTACATCAAAAAAATAAATAAATATATATATATATATATATGTTTTGGTATGTGGATACATACGCACTTGCGCTGTTCTCTGTGTATCTTTGTACCAGTGAATTTAGGTTGTTTTGGTTTTGTCAGTAGTACCGCTGTTCGTCGCCTTGGACATACATACAGGTATGTATGCAATGATGGGTGTTGCATGAGGATGCTCAGGTACGTCATACATATTAGTGTAGGCTAGTTAGTATTGTAGGTGAATTGTGTGTCCCCGTCTAGGATGTTGTCTGTGTCAGTGTTTACTTTCCATTTTAGATGAGAGTGAATTGTATTGTGGTGGTGGGTTGTTGTGGAGAAGACTGACTGTAGTTGGTGCGAGTCATTGAAGTTGGCGATTCGAGTGGTGAAATGACGTTGTCCTTGTGAGAGTGTAAGTAGTGTTTAGTGTTTAGGTTAAATATGAATAGGGTAGATCGGTTAGTTAGGATATTCGCGTTAATTGTTAACTATGCGATAGTGTGCTTATTTCTGTTGTAGAGTAATGTTGGAAGACTGTACTGTACTGTACATTACTGTGCTGTAATGTACTGTGCTGTACTGTACTGTACTGTACTGGAGTGGAGTGGAGTGGAATGGAGTGGAGTGGACTGGCGTGGAGAGGAAGGAAGAAGAGGGAAGGAGACAAGTCTATAGAAGACGTGGTGTGTGTTGGGTTTGAATAGATGGGATGTGTGGGATTCCCATGTGAATGTGTGGAATGCAAAGTAGTGGTTGGTGATATTGACATTGACTGGCTTATGGAGGAAGGTGAATATATTTATCTATGTGGCTGAATGAGATGGCGAATAAGTAAGCTTTGTGATATTTTAATGCTGGATTAGGTGTTTGAGAAGGGTAGGTGATTTGTATGTGACGGGTGTCAAGTGAAGTAAGTGAGTGTAATTTTGACACTAGTGTAATGTAGTGTAGTGTTGTGATTATTATGTGACATGGTTGGTGTTGGTATACGATGTGAGTGTTGTTGTTGTGCGATTGGGGTGCGTTTGGTGGCGGCGACACTAGTGTTGCAGTCATGTAAAATTGTATCGATGCATTTTTCTTCTTTCTCTCTGTGTATCGACTTCAGTTAGTTTTCAGGTGTAGGTGTAGGTGTAGGCGATGAGGAGGAGGTGTTCAAGGAAGATTGTATTGTGTCGGGACTATTGTGTTCAATTGTCGTGAGAATGAGTCAATTTGAGACGGTGAATACAATGTGAATGCGTTGTAGGTGAATTGTTAACATTTCGTTTGCAGATTCCTTCTCGTGTCCAGGGAGTTCGGCGGTGTGGATGGAATGAGAGATGTTGTAAGTGAGTGAGATTGTGATTGTGTTGTGAGTTTGTTTGAGTGGATGATGACTAAGTGGTATTGTGAGGTAATTGTTTTCTAGTTGACAGGACGTTGTTTGCGTTGTCAGTGATTAATGGTGATCGAGATCAATGGATCATATGAAGATGAGTAAATTGAGTGAGTTGTGCATTGTGATCTACATCAAAAAAATAAATAATTATATATATGTGTTTTGGTATGTGGATACATACGCACTTGCGCTGTTCTCTGTGTATCTTTGTACCAGTGAATTTAGGTTGTTTTGGTTTTGTCAGTAGTACCGCTGTTCGTCGCCTTGGACATACATACAGGTATGTATGCAATGATGGGTGTTGCATGAGGATGCTCAGGTACGTCATACATATTAGTGTAGGCTAGTTAGTATTGTAGGTGAATTGTGTGTCCCCGTCTAGGATGTTGTCTGTGTCAGTGTTTACTTTCCATTTTAGATGAGAGTGAATTGTATTGTGGTGGTGGGTTGTTGTGGAGAAGACTGTAGTTGGTGCGAGTCATTGAAGTTGGCGATTCGAGTGGTGAAATGACGTTGTCCTTGTGAGAGTGTAAGTAGTGTTTAGTGTTTAGGTTAAATATGAATAGGGTAGATCGGTTAGTTAGGATATTCGCGTTAATTGTTAACTATGCGATAGTGTGCTTATTTCTGTTGTAGAGTAATGTTGGAAGACTGTACTGTACTGTACTGTACATTACTGTGCTGTACTGTACTGTACTGGAGTGGAGTGGAGTGGAGTGAACTGGCGTTGAGAGGAAGGAAGAAGAGGGAAGGAGACAAGTCTATAGAAGACGTGGTGTGTGTTGGGTTTGAATAGATGGGATGTGTGGGATTCCCATGTGAATGTGTGGAATGCAAAGTAGTGGTTGGTGATATTGACATTGACTGGCTTATGGAGGAAGGTGAATATATTTATCTATGTGGCTGAATGAGATGGCGAATAAGTAAGCTTTGTGATATTTTAATGCTGGATTAGGTGTGTGAGAAGGGTAGGTGATTTGTATGTGACGGGTGTCAAGTGAAGTAAGTGAGTGTAATTTTGACACTAGTGTAATGTAGTGTAGTGTTGTGATTATTATGTGACATGGTTGGTGTTGGTATACGATGTGAGTGTTGTTGTTGTGCGATTGGGGTGCGTTTGGTGGCGGCGACACTAGTGTTGCAGTCATGTAAAATTGTGTCGATGCATTTTTCTTCTTTCTCTCTGTGTATCGACTTCAGTTAGTTTTCAGGTGTAGGTGTAGGTGTAGGCGATGAGGAGGAGGTGTTCAAGGAAGATTGTATTGTGTCGGGACTATTGTGTTCAATTGTCGTGAGAATGAGTCAATTTGAGACGGTGAATACAATGTGAATGCGTTGTAGGTGAATTGTTAACATTTCGTTTGCAGATTCCTTCTCGTGTCCAGGGAGTTCGGCGGTGTGGATGGAATGAGAGATGTTGTAAGTGAGTGAGATTGTGATTGTGTTGTGAGTTTGTTTGAGTGGATGATGACTAAGTGGTATTGTGAGGTAATTGTTTTCTAGTTGACAGGACGTTGTTTGCGTTGTCAGTGATTAATGGTGATCGAGATCAATGGATCATATGAAGATGAGTAAATTGAGTGAGTTGTGCATTGTGATCTACATCAAAAAAATAAATAAATATATATATATATATATGTTTTGGTATGTGGATACATACGCACTTGCGCTGTTCTCTGTGTATCTTTGTACCAGTGAATTTAGGTTGTTTTGGTTTTGTCAGTAGTACCGCTGTTCGTCGCCTTGGACATACATACAGGTATGTATGCAATGATGGGTGTTGCATGAGGATGCTCAGGTACGTCATACATATTAGTGTAGGCTAGTTAGTATTGTAGGTGAATTGTGTGTCCCCGTCTAGGATGTTGTCTGTGTCAGTGTTTACTTTCCATTTTAGATGAGAGTGAATTGTATTGTGGTGGTGGGTTGTTGTGGAGAAGACTGTAGTTGGTGCGAGTCATTGAAGTTGGCGATTCGAGTGGTGAAATGACGTTGTCCTTGTGAGTGTAAGTAGTGTTTAGTGTTTAGGTTAAATATGAATAGGGTAGATCGGTTAGTTAGGATATTCGCGTTAATTGTTAACTATGCGATAGTGTGCTTATTTCTGTTGTAGAGTAATGTTGGAAGACTGTACTGTACTGTACTGTACATTACTGTGCTGTA